AAGACACCAACAACCTACCAACCGAGGAGACACAATACGGGGCTGAACGTAAGCCTAGGAATTGGACTCTGGCGGCAGAGGTTGTAAAGCCTAAAGGAGTCGAGTGGGCCGTAAGGACATTCGACAAATACAAGGCTCCTGGACCGGATGGAATCTATCCCATACTGTTACAGGAAGGACTCACGGACCTTTTAGGCCCGTTAACAAGAATACTGAGGGCTAGCATAGCCCACAGACACGTCCCCAGAGCGTGGAGTGAAAGTAGAATTACTTTCATACCAAAGCCTGGAAGAAACGGTCATCTACTGGCCAAAGACTTCCGTCCCATCAGCCTTTCCTCCTTCATCTTGAAGACTCTGGAAAGACTGGTGGATACGTATATCAAGCATAGGACTCTAGCAGCGCGCCCCCTGGCCCCCTCTCAGTACGCGTACAGAGCAGGGAGGTCCACGGAGACCGCCTTACACCACTTAGTGGGAAAGGTAGAGGCGCAACTAGAGTCTAAAGGATATGCAATAGGAGTATTTATGGACATTGCAGGGGCTTTTGATAGCACCTCTAATGTAGCCATAAAAAAAGCAATGGTCAGCAGAGGGATACCCGAAACCCTCACTGACTGGACGCAGGCCATGCTTAGAGGCAGGAAACTGTCAACAAGCATGGGAACCGACCAGGTAACAGGACGTCCAACCGGCGGGTGCCCGCAGGGAGGAGTACTCTCACCTCTGTTGTGGTGCTTAGTGGTGGATGAACTACTGGCAAAACTCACAGAAGCAGGACTCTCGGTATTCGGCTATGCAGATGACATAGCCATAATAGCCAGAGGAAACTTCCTACCAACACTCAGGGACATCATTATGAATGCCCTGAAAATCGTAGAGGACTGGTGCGCTGCTGTTGGCTTGATGGTAAACCCAGAAAAGACAGCAGCAGTAATCTTCACCCGGAAATACAAACTCCAACCAACAAAGCCGTTACAGCTTTGGGGGGTGGAGATCCCTTATTCCAATACAGTCAAATATCTGGGAGTCCACCTAGATACAAAACTGAATTGGAACACCCACCTCGAAACAAAGAGGAAAAAATTCTACAGCACAATGTGGGCTTGTAGAAGAGCCATAGGAAAAACCTGGGGATTAAAACCTAGGGTAACTCTTTGGCTATACCAAACGGTATTAATACCAAGATTCCTGTATGCTGCAGTAGTCTGGTGGCCCAGGGTAGAATTGGTGGGGAATCGGAACCTGTTAAGAAGCCTGCAAGGTAACTACCTGCGGGCTGCGACAGGGGCCATGAGAACCACACCAATTGACGCGCTAGAAATAGCGCTCAATATTCCACCCCTGGACCTAAAAGTGACAAATGTCGCCCGGCAGACAGCATACAGAATGAAATGTCAAGGGGAGTGGAAGGAAAATGGAACTGGACATACCAGGATACATGTCCTTCGAAACACACCTTTTACATTAAGACAAGACAGAACCTCTAAACAGGTTATGATTGAACACACCTATAGGGTAAAAATACCAACCAGAGAAGACTGGAAGGAACAAAAACCGTTGATGGAACATCAGGGCGAAAACTGGTACTCCGATGGCTCGGGGTGTGGGGACCGCCATGGATCGGGCATCTACGGGCAAAATACCAACTACAGGGAGAGCATATCCCTGGGTGAACATGCTTCGGTCTTCCAAGCCGAAGTATTTGCTATACTGAGATGTGCAGAGCATCTCATAAATAATGGAGCCACACATTCCCGAATAAATATTTATTCGGATAGCCGCGCTGCCCTAGAGGCACTGGCGAAAAACACCACGGTCTCCGCCGTGGTGCGGGACTGCATGCAGAACCTCGCCAGGTTAGGGGCTGAGAATGTAGTGACTCTAATTTGGATCCCTGGACATCAGGGAATAGAAGGCAATGAGGTAGCCGATAATCTAGCCAGAGAGGGGGCCATGGAGCAACCTGGTAGGCAGATAGTTGGAATGCCCTTTGCAGAAGGTAAACAATACCTAAACAAACTCCTAGAAAGGGAACATCTCGTTCGATGGAGGAACTCGACAGGCTGTAGGGTATCCAAACAGTTCATGGAAACACCCTCAAAAGAAAGGGCAACCGAGCTCTGGGCTATGGACCGTGACAGGCTGAGCAAAACGCTTGGACTACTCACAGGACACGTAGCACTCAGAGCGCACCTATACCGCCTTAAAATAGTAGAGCAGAAAACATGCCGTCTATGTGGGGAGGCTGAGGAGGACAGCATACACATACTGTGTCACTGTCCAGCATTATCCTTGCGCAGGTATAATACCTGGGGAAGGACCTCATTAGATCCTAGCGATCTCAAAAACACAAGGGCATCCGAACTGCTGAGGTTTGCAAATACTTGCGACCTCTGGCAGAATCAATGACCTTGGGAAACAGCGGGAAACTACAGAGGATCATTAGATCTAGGTGGTCACGGGGCTGGAAAGACCGCCCGCATAAAAACAACAACAACAACAACAACATAATTACGCATGGTGCTATAAAATATGCCTCATTTTCCACACTATTAAGTATCGATTTTTTATTACAATTTTGCTATATATGTAAATTATTTTCGCAAATATAACAGCAACCTAATAATAAAATTTACACACAAACAACATGCGATTTTTCATTAAAATTCCCGCTAAATAATAAATTACTTTTACACATCGCAGTTTTGCAAATTCGAATCGATTCGCAAAAGGCTCGCAACATTTCATTAAATTTTCATCACAGTAGTATTAATTCGCCCGGGCATTATTAATAAATACATTCGCAACGATGCGAGTTTCACGTCCAATAACAAATATACCGTTAATAATCCGGTTATTTTTTCGCTATTCCAGATATCCAGGAATTCTACGAGCTGACTCTATTAGACGAGAACAAATCGATACAGGAGAAAACGGCCGAAACTATCCGCATAGCCAACAAATGGGAGACCAACGATGGCCCCATCATTCCCACGTACACGAATAACGAGGTGAGTCGATTTGTATTTAAGCTGAAGAAATTCGATTTTAACCGGCAACGTTGCAATATTTTTTTATTACGTAATTGTCGCTGATTTGTAGGTGTCAAATTAAATAGTAAGCAATTTGGGCTTGAGGGATATGAATTAAAATTCACCTGGATTATAAAAATGTAGATATTATGTTTTCGTCATTTTGAAATAATTTTATTTGTGGCGTATTTGTCGCTTATTATAATGAACGATCTGTAAGTGTGTGTTTAAATAAGCAATTTGGGATAGAAGGAATGAATTAATTCACCTAGATTATTAGAATCTGGATATTATTAAGATTTTTTAATAGAAGAAAGTATCTAATATTTTTTATATTGGATCAAATTTATTTATAACGTATTTGTCGCTTATTATAATGAACGATCTGTAAGTGTGTGTTTAAATAAGCAATTTGGGATAGAAGGAATGAATTAATTCACCTAGGTTATTAGAATCTGGATATTATTAAGATTTTTTAATAGAAGAAAGTATCTAATATTTTTTATATTGGATCAAATTTATTTATAACGTATTTGTCGCTTATTATAATGAACGATCTGTAAGTGTGTGTTTAAATAAGCAATTTGGGATAAAAGGAATGAATTAATTTACCTAGATTATTGGAATCTGGATATTATTAAGATTTTTTTAATAGAAGAAAGTATCTAATATTTTTTATATTGGATCAATTTTATTTATAACGTATTTGTCGCTTATTATAATGAACGATCTGTAAGTGTGTGTTTAAATAAGCAATTTGGGATAGAAGGAATGAATTAATTTACCTAGATTATTAGATTCTGGATATTATTAAGATTTTTTTAATAGAAGAAAGTATCTAATATTTTTTATATTGGATCAATTTTATTTATAACGTATTTGTCGCTTATTATAATGAACGATCTGTAAGTGTGTGTTTAAATAAGCAATTTGGGATAGAAGGAATGAATTAATTTACCTAGATTATTAGAATCTGGATATTATTAAGATTTTTTAATAGAAGAAAGTACCTAATATTTTTTATATTGGGTCAATTTTATTTGTGATGTATTTGTCGCTTATTATAATGATCGATCTGTAATTGTGTATTTTTAAATAAGCAATTTGGGATAGAAGGAATGAATCAATTCCCCTGGATTATTAAAATCTGGATATTATTAAGATTTTTTTAATAGAAGAAAGTAACATTTTTTGAACGATCTGTAAGTAGATATGAATTTAAATAAGCAATTTGGGAAAGCAGGAATAAATTAATTCAATCATTTTATTCGAATCCGCGGATATAACTAAAGCTTTTTAACCAAAGAAAAAAAACCCGATATTGAATTTAACATCTTCCCGCGTAAATCTCCTTTTCGATATCTCATTTCGCAACCTCATTTCTTCCGCTGTTGAGTCAACCCGATTGGGTGGGGTAGATTTTGCATTATGAAGGTGTAAACGTCGATCCTCTAATTTACCCTCCACGTTTTTTTATATTCTCTCTCCCCCATTTCGACTTGTCACATCATTCCCCATTACAAGTGTATCCGTTTTGTTTCCCGTCCCGACGCCCCGAAACGGGTCAATCGAATTTTCTTTTTCGCTTTCCCGGCGTTATTCCGCCACTTTAAATCGGAAAATCGATTAAACGATTTATACTTTAGTTAATTCGAATTAATCTGTAGGTGTGAGTACATACTGTATATTTGTTTGTTTACTTAACACCCTGTATTTTGTTGAAGGACATTTTTTTACGTGAAACTATTTAGTTTCATATACACCCTGTATATTGAAGGAGGTATAAAATTGAAAATCTAACTTCATGTAAACGTGCTTGCTGTTTCAAATTTTAATCGAATAATAAATCTTCTGTTTTCTTAGGACAACCCGTATAAACTTTTTTTTGCTTGCTTTTTCTCAACATTAATAGAAAAATAAATCTTTCGAGACAACCTGTACCTACTAAACAAAAATCCGAAACTACTCGTATCATTTTTTATTCGAAAAATAAATAATTTTTTACAATTTTTGCTACACAAAAAAAATAACTCGTTTTCCGTTTTCCGAAAGAAAGAAAGAAAATCCGCAAGATGGCGCTTTTAATGTAAAAGCGACGTACTGTAGGCGACGGGCGTCGCCAATTTGGCGGCGAAACCGAGAGGAGCGGGGGCGGCGGGCGCCACCACGGCCGCCTTCGCGACCAATGGTTCTCTGCGTACCGCCGCGTTGAAACCGTTGACGGGATCGGCCGAGTAGTCGACGGTACGACGGGTACCGTCCGGGTCGGTCAGCGAGTACGAACCTGGAATTACAGAAAATCTCTTATTTATGTCGCTTTTTGCACTTAGTGGTACCATCAGCGAGTGGTACCGGTAGTACCGATTGTAAAATAGTACCAACAGGAGTTCTACTCGATGCTCGAGATACAGAAGGGATGATGGTATTGGTACTTATATGTTGGTTAGGTAACAGGTAGGAATGGTACTTGTTGATTTGCGGAGGTACTTGATTGGAATAGTTTGATAACAGCTGTACTTTTATTTAAATTGCAAAAAGTAATAAAGAAGGAGGTTTGTTTGATGAAGGATAATGTTATTTAATGCTGATATTATGAGAATTGTTTTGATAATATGAATGAGAGGTACTTGTTGATAGAAAAAAAAAGGTTTGCAAAGGTACTTAATTGAAATATTTAGGTGAAATTGGTACTCTTTTGAATTTACTACTACCTACAATTATAGAGAAGAAAAAAATAACAAAATTCTCTACAAAAAAAAAGAATTCTCTAAGAGAAATAAGAAACCTAGTGCCTTGTACCTACTGTATATCAGTTACCAATAGTGAATAGTACCAACCAGAGTAGTATTGATACTCATTGTACTATAGGGATGATACTGTATGATACAGAAGATCTGATTTTGATACTTTTAGTTAGGGGAATAGGCTATATGTAACAGAATAGAGTGGTACTTGTTAATGGAATTTGCATAGGAACTTATGTGGAATATTTAGGCAAAAATGGTACTATTACTGCACAATAATAACGAAAAACGAAGCACAACATAATTTTCCAAAAAAAGCGAAAGTAGTACCACAGGCTAGAAAACTACCAGTACTACCACTGGACCAAAAAAAATTAACTCAAGTAAGTACCTTGTACGATGTCGCCGTTCCTCGACTCGCTCTGGCTCTTGCTATCCCCCGTCAGGGCGTCTTCTACTTGATAACCGAACGAGTACTGCGGATTCGGGTCGTACTCGTCGTCGATTTTGGCGGCTATCTTGGCGACGGGCGCCGCCAGCGCGACCGGCCTCGCGATTTTGGCGACGGGGGCGGCGGCGTAGGCCAACGGGGGCGGCGCGAACGCCACCGGCGCCCCGTGGTGGACGATTTCCCCTGCCAGCGGCGCCCCGATGAAGCCTGCCCTGGCTACTGCCAACAAGGCGGCCATGATTGTCACCTGGCCAAACGGTGGAGTTGTATACATTACTTTATCTACGATTATAGTCCGTTCGCTATCAGGCGATGGTGGTAAAACTTGATGTTCCGTGCATAAAACAGCACGAGTAGCTCTAATACATTTTTACCTTTAGTTTTATTATAGTAGTACCATAGTAGTACCATAGTAGTACCATAGTAGTACCATAGCAGTACCATAGTAGCACTATAGTAGTACTGAAGTAGTACCGATGACTAGAAGTTTTCGTTACTATAGGTAAATCTGCTGATTGCGAACGAAGTATAATAATTATAAATATCGTTAGGAATAAATAGTACTCACTTTGAAAGTCATGTTTTTTGGACTGGTGCGTTTGTGTTGGTGCTTTGTGCGGTACTGATTTTGTGGCGAGTACTCGGGATTTTTATACGGCTCGCGTGGGACAATTAAATTTCGGGTAAATGTTTTTTGTTTCTTTTATTTTTGGTTTTGTTTGGCGTTTTAAAAGTAGTTTTCGATCTCGAAAGTACGACCACGCCCTTAAGGAAGGTCGGGACTTGTGTGGTGTAATGCGTAGTACTGACGAGTGGTACTCGAAGTTTGTAATTAGTTCGTATCGAATTGAATTGAATTGAATCTTATTGAAGAGATATTTTGTAATTCGTCTGGTGGAATTAATACAATTTGTACTGGAATTATGGTTATTTATTGGTACTTTAAAAGGGAATGAGTACCGTAGCATCCGATTTTTGATGAGATATCCATCCGTACTAAATGATGCAAGATGGCCGTACCGGTTTAAATAAAAAAAAGGCCGATAAATGCAACATTTCAATGGCTTAAAAAATATTGGTCAAGTTCAATCGGGCAACTTTGAAAATGTCAACCGGACCGGTGTAAAATTATTTCTTCTTTTTTCTCAGTAATTTTGTAACCATTTCAAAGTAATTAACTTATTTCCTTTATCATCGAAATTATACCAATTTGTATTGTTACATTCGCTAATTGATTATACTCCGTTCGCTTTCAGAAGATAGTAATAAAACCTTCTTGAAATAGTAAATTCAACAAATAGGTAAATCATTTGAACTCGCATTATCGACCACTTAAGATCACAGGAAATTTATTTATAGTCCGCTCGCCATCAGGAGATAATGATAAAACCGTCTTGAAGGATTAAATTCATCAAATAACTCATTTGAACTCGCATTATCGATCACTTAAGATCTCTAGAAATTTGTTATAATCAGTTCGCTATCAGGAGATAGTAATAAGTAATATAATATATAGTATATTAATAATTCCATAAAATAAGTAAGAATTACCTGTATTAGTTACCAGAATAGTTATATCGAAGTACCGATTCAGGTAGCAATGAAAGCAATTTTTAATTTTATTAAACTCTTCTAAGTTCTAAGTATCTGTTTATTATCCCAAAAACACCACTATTTTTAGATCATTTTATGTGGGATTAAAAAATTATATTGTTAAAGTATTGCTGTAGGTATACACAATGGTATAACTAAAAATAAAAAAAATATCGTGTAAAGCTAAAAAATCCTTCCAGTTTTAATATTTTCCTGAAATTATTCTACTGATGGCGAACGGAGTATAATGTAGATATATATTATTTCAACTAGTTACGTCATCACCTACTTAGCATAATTCTACCATACCTACTGCTCAACATAAACAAGTAAAACTTGGGGAAACTATCGGGAAAACTCCTTGTAATTTCAACAATTTCCTCACTATGTCCCTAACGTTTCGAATGTTTCGGGAATCTCTCCCATTAACATAATGCGGGGAATAGAAACTTCAACTTCAACATCACCGTTACGGTTTCTCACTCACTGTAAGTTTAGAGTTTTCCTAATGCCATCACCGGCCCCGGCAGGGAAATTCATTATTTCCATCTAAACTTTTCGCGGGTTTAACGAATTTACATTATTATTAATTCGCCTACTGTGTTTCCACGAGCTCTTCGAGCGTGTTCTAATTGAATTATCCCCGTAGAAAAATGCCACTTTCGTTCCCTATATTATCCCGAAATTATCCGGATCTTGCCAATTTATCATGCCATTTATCAGGATTTGACGTTGCCAGATCTAGTCAAAAATCCTAGAGTTACTTACAGTTGATGTAGAATGAGTTGAGGCGAAAAATCACCAGATTTTAGTAACTTTTCCTAGTTTTCTATATCAAATGTTACTAGAATTAGTCAAATGTCACTAGATTTACTATCGTACTAGCCTAGACTAGGACTATTTTATTCCAGAGAGTTGGTATCAAGTGATTGAGCAACGACAAAATTCATCAAACTATCCTTTTATTCATTTACAGTTGAAAAAAAATAATACACTTTATACATCATATTTTCAAACAAAAAAAATTAGTGTACGAAATGAGCGGGGGCGGCGTATCCCAAGGGGGCGGCGGCGGCGGCGTATCCCAATTTGGCGACGGGAGCGGCGTAACCCAACGGTGCGTGGTAACTCAAAGCGGGGGCGGCCGCGTACTTGGCCACGGGGGCGGCGTAACTCACATGAGCGGCTGGGGCGGCGTAGCTGAGATGAGCAGCGGGGGCGGCGTAACTCACATGAGCGGCTGGGGCGGCGTAGCTCAAATGAGCGGCTGGGGCGGCGTAGCTGAGATGAGCAGCGGGGGCGGCGTAGCTGAGATGAGCAGCGGGGGCGGCGTAGCTGATGTGAGCGGCGGGAGCGGCGTAGCTGAGGCGAGCTGCGGGGGCGGCGTAGGTGAGGGGAGCGGGGGCGGCGTAGGTGAGGGGAGCGGGGGCGGCTACCTTGGCGACTACGGCTTTGGCTACGAGTGGTTCCTTGCGTACCACGGCGTTGAAACCGTTGACGGGATCTGCGGTGTAATCGACGGTTCTGCGGGTACCATCAGGGTCGTTCAACGAGTAAGAACCTGCACACGAAAATCATCGGAAAAATTAGCAAAAATCGATCAGCTATCGGGTAGTACCGGCGGTACCTTGTACGACGTCGCCGTTCCTGCTCTCCACTTGGCTCTTGCTGTCGCCGGTGAGGCTGTCCTGGACGTCGTAGCCGAAGGAGTACTGCGGATTCGGGTCGTACTCTTCGGTGGATAGTTTGGCGACGGGCGCCGCCACAGCCAATTTGGCCAATGGCGCCGGTTGGAGGAGCGCCGGGGCGGCGGCGTAGGCCAACGGGCCCGATACGATGTTGCCGCATCTGGCCATCGAAACGAAGGCGGCGAGCAAAAGGTACTGTCGAAATAAAAATTAAGTACTTTTATACCCGGTACTACTGTGTAGTACTAAATGGTACTACCATTAAAAAGTAGTACTATAATTATTAGCACTACTAATAAAATTGATATATTATATTTAGTAGCTACACTAAGAAAAAGTAGCAATGTTAATATACACTAAGAAAACAGTAAAGAGCGTACCTTGAAAGCCATAGTAGAGCAGAACGTGTTGTTGCTGGTATGTTGGACGATGGCGAATTGATGATAAAACCGTCCATCTACCGGCTATTTATACAGGGGTGTCCGATTTTTACCGGTTCCCCCCGGAGTCGATGGGAAAAAAAAAACGAAAAAGAAAGGGCGACGAAGGAAAAAGAAGGCGAACGTTCGAGTGTGTGTGTGCGTTCCGCCGTACCATCGGCGGTGCGCGGTGGCCGGTTATTAGTTTCGTAAAAGGCCACGCCCGGTTTCGTGTGAGCGCCATTATCGAATTTAATTTGGGTCAATTTGTAGGCGACGATTTTTGATTTAATAACGAGCTGTTTATTGTTTAATATGAATTTTGTAATTGATATATTCGGAGTAGTACCGGAGATGTTGCGGTACTAATAAATTGTGGATTACTGGGATTATTTTGAATGAAGATTGGAGATTGATTTTAATGGAAAAGCTGTCTTAGAAATGTTCGTTTGGGATATTAGTATAATAGTACTTTTTTGGTTTCTAGTACAAAAATGCTTAGTTGAGATGTTTGGAGTAGTACCTGAGATTACGGTTATGGTACTAATAAGTTGATACTAGGAGGAGGTACTATAAGAATTAGTATAGTGAGCTTATTTAAATTTTTACAGATATCTGAGATGTTCATTTGCGATGTTAATAGTAGTACGAAATTTGTTTCTAGTATACAAAAATGCGTAGTTGAGATATATAGCGTAGTACCAAAGATCTTATACTAATTAGTTAGTAGGTACTATATTTTATGGAATTATTTGTATTTTTAAAGCTATTAGAAATCTTCATTTGGGATATTAGTATAATGGAACTACATTTATTTCTAGCACAAAAATGCTTATTTGAGATGTTTGGAGTACTACCAGAGATGTTATGGTACTAATAAGTTGGTACTATATGATTTGTGGATTAGTCTAGTGAGCTTATTTAATTTCTTATGGAGATATCAGAGATGTTTATTTGTGTTGTTAATAGATGTTAACCTATAGTTTGTTACTGGTACAAAAATGTATTCTTGAGATGTATGGCGTAGTACCAGAGATGTTGTGGTACTAAGAGGCTAGTACTATATTTATGTGAGGTTATTTGAATTTTTAGAGCTATTAGAAATGTTTATATTTGGGATGTTAAAAGCTGGGTGCCTATACTAGATTAGTTTCGGTACTTTTAGTACTACCTACTTTTGAATGTCCAACTATTTCTTAGCTATTTTTGATGAGGCAATTTAAATTTGTTAGAGCGTATTTCGAAGGATATGCGATCATAGGTAGACACGTGGAAAAAGGTTTCGAAAAGCGATTAAAAGATAAAAAATCAATTTCGAGCATTTTTGTGTAACTTAACAAAACGACCTATTTCGACATGATGCGTGAACAACGTTCGAACTGAAAAACTCGTACGTCTTATTATTTTACGTTTTCCTTGATCTTTCGCTTCGATTCTTAATCCTTACGTAATCTTGAAATAATTCTTTTTTTTTCTTCTGATATACAGGGTGTCTCTAATCAACGTTGGAAGTAATATATTTGGGTTCGTTTTGAAGATATAGCAAACTTCTTTTACTATAAAACTTAATTATTCTTAAAATTCTATGTAGAGTAATATTATGGTGCTGTAATATTTTCTGTTATCCGAATTGAAGCAATCAGAGAAACTTTTAATTTTTGGGAGATATACAGGGTGATTTCTTCGAAGAATTATTACTAATGCATTCATCTGTAAACCTTCAAGTCTGTTTCATAACGATTTTTAGCCAATTGAATTTTTTTGATCGATTAAATAGATACACCATGTAGAATTAAATAATTTATTAAAGAAGAAAAAAAAAACATAAAATATCCAAGAACAAAACGAAAACTGATCCACTTTTCGCCGCCGGTAGAGAAACGTTACTAAAAATAGCCAGTTTTCAATGAACGATTGTTGTTTCCATATACCGGTTTCTCAATTTCGTCCGGTTCAGTTCATAAATCTCTTTTTATTTCAATTCGAACAAAACGTAATTTTATTAATTCACACCGGACGACCTCACGCAATTCCAATCGATCGAATCGCCCCATAAAGAATGTCTGTCAACTGTCATATGTCAACCATCAACTGTCAAACGGCAAATGTCTACTGTCAACTATCAAATATCCAATTTGGTTCCTTATTTTAGTGTACATCGGTAATCAAACCTGTCACCTGTCACTTTACATATTGCCAACATAAAAGTTTCTCATACCGAGCCATCGATGCGTGCGAGGGTTCGATAAAAGTAGAGAGAAAACTGATGAATTTTATTTAGTTATTTTAGATAAACTTTTCTGCGTTCCTAAATTACTTTATATTAGTTATTTTTTGTAGACTGGAAGAGTAAGATGAAATCGATAAAAGTAGAGAGAAAACTTTTGTAAATGTAGGGAGAAAAGTGCTTTTGCTTTTTATGAGTGATTGAGTCGATGATTTTGAAACATTAAATTTGAAGATGAAGTATTTTTTAATTTAATGGTTTTTTTTTATAATTAAGAAATTTTAAAATTCTACGAAACATTTGTTAACTGGAAGAATTTGATGAAATCGATAAAACTAGGGAGAAATCTGATTATTATCCTATTATTTTTTATCAACAAAAGTAGAGAGAAAACTATTCTATTTTTAACAACTTTTTTATTATTAAATGTACAGAGAAAACTGATTTTGCTTGTCAATTGTCACTTTAAATATCGCCAACATAACAGTTTCTCGTACCGAGCCATCTGTAATAATAAAAAGTAAAATAATCGAAAATTCCCGGCTTGCGCAAAATTCCCCGCGGACTGGAACCTGGCGGGAAAAGCGCGACCTCGGACGTCGCAGTTATACAGCCATGTAATGTGACATATTTACATTGTATTCGGCGCATCTCCTGCGGCCCACCTCTGTATATATACAAATACATGTACACGTCGAAACGTCTTCCTTCGGGCGTTTTCGCCGGAGTTTTCGCGTTGTGGGATTACACGGAATTCGTTTTAGTTAAACGAGTGGCCTCGTTCATTATTTAGCCCCGGATTGTAAAAGATTCATGCCCTTTGTGCTCGAGCTGCACGGGGAATATTTTCTAATTCACACGGCAAAACATGGCGAAAATTCATCGAATGGTGACTGTTGGTAGCTGTAGTAAGAGGCCGAGAAGATCACTCGATTGCTCAATTTTTGTGTGTTTCAATTCTCTCTCCCAGGAATCCCCGGATTAAACAACCAAATTTGAATCAAGAGAGCAATAAAGAGTATAATCTAATGTTGATGTTGTTGCTGTCGTTGGTTTTATTGCTGTTATTGTTATCTGTTGTGGTAAAGAAATCACTTAATCGATCGTTCGATGCGATGAAGTGGAAAGATAATAATCTAATTGTTTCGATGCGTTACAAATAAATCCGGTAGATGTATTGAGGAATTCAAGGTCTCCGACCTTGATTGTGTGCGGCTATAATAAACGAGCGCTCGACGCGATTCGGTGATGCAATTCGAGAGTTGCCTTTACCTATGCTAGTTATGCGCGAGACATTTGAGCAGGGGCGGACGGTTCGTTTAAAATGTGCGAGGGTTCGATAAAAGTAGAGAGAAAACTGATGGATTTTATTTAGTTATTCTAGATGAACTTTTCTGTGTTCATAAATTACTTTTATATTAGTTATTTTTTGTTGAGTGGAAGAGTATGATGAAATCGATAAAAGTAGAGAGAAAAGTTTTGTAAATGTAGGGAGAAGAGTGCTTTTGCTTTTTATGAATGTTTTAATAATCTATGATTTTGAAAACATTAAGTTGGAAGATGAAGGTTTTTTTGATTAAGGTTTTTTTATGATTAAGAAATTTTAACATTCTACGAAACATTTTTTAACTGGAAGAATATGATGAAACTGATAAAACTAGGGAGAAATCTAATTTATTATCCTTTTATTTTTTATCAATAAAAGTAGGGAGAAAACTGATTGTTTTTATAACAATTTTTTATCAACAAAAGTAGAGAGAAAACTGTTCTATTTTTAAGAACTTTTTTATTATTAAATGTAGGGAGAAAACTGATTTTGCTTTTTCTAAATTTTGTAATAATTCAAAAGTTTGAAACTTTTGAAGATGAAATATTAAGTTTTTTTTTTTTCAAAGGATTGACTTCTAAATTTTTCAGTATATTAGTCATTTTTGTTAACTGGAAAAATATAATGAAACCATTAAAACTAGTGAGAAATCTCAATTATTCTCCTTCAATTTTTTTATCAATAAAAGTAGAGAGAAAACTAACTACTCTTTGCAATACTGTATCACCCAAAACTACCATCTTCAATCTAAAAATTTTACACTTTCCAATACGAACCTAACATCCTTTTTCCCATCAGATTTCGGTCCAATTTAACACGATTTTCCATCCTTTTGTACAACAACAAAACATGATTCCCCGCCGCTGCATGGAAATCGTTTCGCTTTAATTCCAATTCTTCGGGCTCCGTACAACAACCATAGATCGGGGTCAATGTCAATGCAATCGCCGATGAGGCGACGATATAACAGCCCAGAAGAAAGTAAAAGTAATTTCTTCGATTCTCCTCGTCCTCTCCGCCCGGAAAATCGGTTATTCAACGTCGAATGAACGCTCTAATTGCCCATCGGCCGGGCTTTAACTTGCAAACTCCGGTCCCCTCGGCAGAGTACAAGCACACTTCAAAGAGATATCGTATCGATTTCGGCGTAACCAGAGGAGTTTTGAGTTTTCATGACTAATGTCGAGCATTAACCGGGTAATATGTATACTACATTCGTTTGATATCGGGGATGATGGGAGTTCTGTGTACGGGTAAAATTGAACCATTAGTACGTGATTATCGAACTCACGTCAATACGAAGCCCTTATTAAGGTTCGCATGTTATATGTTAAATAACTGAATGACTGGTAATCATTCGAAATTGGCTGGTTGAGAATCGCAAAACCGGTAATTTTGGTTGTTTTGAAGTTATTAAATAACGAGGTTTCCTTGAGTGAAATTGAGCGATTTTCGGTTTTTGAAGCGTTTGATTGATTCGTTAAACGGGCTGTCAGTTTTTTAGGTCGATTTAATTGGTGGTTATTTTTTATTTTCGATGATAATTGGAAGAAGAATGTGATGAAATCTGTAAAAACTAGGGAGAACGTTGATAGATATTTTATCGATAAAAGTAGAGAGAAAACTGTTCATTTTTTTTATAACAAGCTTGTTATTAAATGTAGGGAGAAAACTGATGTTGATTTTTATGAAATTTATGAAATAAGGTTGGGAGAACAGTTTTTCGCTAAAACCTTTTGAACAAAAGTAGAGAGAAAACTGATGTATATTATATGATTTTCAATAATTAAAGGTAGGGAGAACACTGTTTTTTGTCATCAATTTATTATTGCTAAGGAGCTTTTCAATATACATTAACAAATTTTAGTTTCTGTTCAAATGAATCCTTTTTTTATAATCATTCTTCCATTGTATAATCATTTTCTTTACTATTTTCGAATAAAAGTAGAGAGAAAACTGTTCATTTTTTTTATAACAACCTTATTATTAAATACAGGGAGAAAACTAATGTTGATTTTTATGAAATTTATGAAATAAAATTGGGAGAACAGTTTTTCGCTAAAACCTTTTGAACAAAAGTAGAGAGAAAACTGATATATATTAAATGATTTTCAATAATTAAAGGTAGGGAGAACACTGTTTTTTTGTCATCAATTTATTAAGGAGCTTTTGAAGATACATTAACAAATTTTAGTTTCTGTTCAAACGAATCCTTTTTTTTATAATCATTCTTCCATTGTATAATCATTTTCTTTACTATTTTCGAATAAAAGTAGAGAGAACGAAACCACACGAAATCCACCCGTCACCGACCCACTTCATTAACATCTTCAACGATGCAACTGCGCATTTTTTTTTCTCTTCTCTCGCCGAGAACGCTCTCACGTCTATCTAATTTTCGTTTCGGAACTCCGCGTCGCGGTATTCCCTATCCTCTTACAATAATGTCTCCATTAGCGAGTCCGTCTTGCGAAGTACAAACGAAGCCCGAATGTACACGGCATAATTAATGCATTACCATGCGTTCCGTGTAGTTTCTAAAGTGGAGTTGACTAATTGGTGTTAAACAGGTTAGACGAAATCGAAGTGAAATGTTTACATAATTTTCCGCGCGAAAATATTTTCTCTTTCTTCCGATCCGGCTACGCGTAGATGTCTTTCAATTCGTTGGCGAATTTTTATTTTTTAGTACTTTCCTCGGTACCGGGATGTTGCAACACACTTTGGCAACGTTGCATTGTATTATATGTTTCTCTAATATCGTTATTTTTTCGTTAGGGATTCTAGAGATTCATGTAAAGTAGGGAGAAAACTGATAGTTCTTTTAAGAAACTTTATTATTAAACTAGGAAGAATATTGATGTATTTTTTATGATTAAAGGTAGCTAGAATACCGTTTTTTGTGATATTATTAACGAACTTTTGAAGATTCTTTAGCAATTTTGTGACTTTTTCAAAGGAATAGTCTAAATTTTCTCAATCGAACAAAAGTAGAGAGAAAACTGATGTATTAAATTTTTTTATGATTTTGATGAATCTTCAAAATTTATTTAATAATAAAAAAATCAGGAAAAATTGTTAGTCCTCATAGCTTTTTGGGTTCAAATTGCATCGATAATTAACCGAAATTAGTTCGAATTTATAGCTTTTAATGGAATTATTACCGAAATTATTGATCAAATCGCAAATTGCTGCCGTATAGTTGATTAAAATTCGCTATTAATACTGCGAATATTCCACGCCAATTCACCTAAATAGTACCACAAATTACTGCTATCATTAAAAAAACACACAAAACTTGCATTTATATTCAAAATTTATTATCAGCACATCGATAAAACAAGCCCGTTAAAAAATCTAATAGTAATAAATATTCCTGTAGTACGGCTCTGCGTTGAAGTACGGTCGTACCAATCCGTACGGATACGAGTAACTTTTAACAGGTAACGAATAAGCCGCGTAACCTGCAACAATTAAATTTTGTGTAGTACCGAGTACTGGTACTCTCTCTAAAAAATGAACGAATTTCACGTACAACATAACCAATTTTGATTCAGAAAAATTAACATATTTTACATTTTACAAACAATAAAATAGTACTGGATGGTACTTACTGAGTGGTACGTTTCGAGATACAGCCGGCGCTGCTCCCACCTCCACCGTATCGTCGGAAATCAAATTGGTGACGACGGGCGTCGGTGCGTTGGATACTACCGGTACTACCTTGGGCGGTACCGCGTGGAATTGCGAGTGGATCAAAGGAGATTTTCGCACTACTGCGTTGAAGCCGTTGATGTCGTCTGCCGTGTAATCGACGGTACGACGGGTACCGTCCGGATCGTTGAGGGAATAAGTACCTGCGGGTTTAAAATGCAGTGTTTAAGCTCGGAATATAATATGAATTAAAAATTATATGCTGAAAATATGCAAATATAAGAAAGGGTTTTAGGCTGATCATTTTTATGAAATTTGCTCTAAGTTTATGAAATTTGTAGATCATTTTCCCTTTGCTCAATTTTTCATGAAAATTTCAGATTTTTCACTCTCATTTTTCGCTATTTTTATGAAATTTGCTTCAATTTTCTCATATTTTTATATGCAAATATTATTCAAAGATTGCTTAAAAAAATGCAGTTTGCAAAATAATCCGAGCTTTAATTAAAAAGTTACACCCTGTATATGTTTCGATAATAAGAATACGCCTCTACAGAAATGAGAGAGGAAAAAAGTTGATGGATTTTCGAAGGTTGTTTATCTGATTTTGAAATTTTATTGAAATCAGGTTGTTTAATATGTATCGAATTTTAATTCGGTTTTCGCGTAATGTAGAATTAATTCCTGCTGCGTCGAAACGTTTGAAATCCGCAATAAATTTGTTATTTATTGGTTATTAATTACGCTTCGAAAGGAATTTGGTTTATCAGAAATTCAAAGAGGAAATGTTTTTTTTAATTTTAACGAAAAATCAATTTTTTTCTCCCCACAAATGACTCAATATATTTAGCAAAAAAAAATCAATTTTCCTCCCAATTAAATTGTCAATAAAATATTCTCTCTACTTTTATCCAATTCATCTCTTCCATACTACAAACAAATAGGTACTACTTTATTATAGTGGAAATTTTCATCTCCAATTTTTCCACAATCAAAAAATAAAATAAAATTCAAAATACCTTGTACTAATCCCCCGTTTCTGGTCTCCACTTGCGCCTTGCTATCGCCAGTAAAAGGATCATCCACGGAGTACCCGAAGGTGTAGCGGGAATCATCCACCTCAGCGGGAACCAGTACTCCTGCCCTGGCGGTTGCCAGGCAAGCCACGAGCACAGCAACACAAACTACCTGGTGATAAAATAACGAAAAATATATTTTATTAAAAAAATTAAATTAATTCGTCTACTCACTTTGGATAGCATCGTCGAAGAGGAAGATCTGTACGCTAAATGGTCGAGGAGTACCCGGTAGTTCGGGTTTATATATAGGTCGGTGGTACCTGCGATGACCCGCCTTTGTTTTGTGCTCGTAGATTTACGCGTGGGCACGACAGGAGCATAGTAAAATTGCCCCCCCGATTGGTTAAATTTAAATTCTAATTATACTCCGTTCGATATCAGGGAGATGGATATTTTTGTATATGGCAAAAAACAGCTCGATAAAATTATATAATTGCAAAACTTTAAGGTTTTTATTAGTTTATTTTACTGTAGTTGTGCCACAGTGTATACAGGGTGTATAATAATAGGCCGCTTTTTTCTAGTTTCATTGATCAAGTGGTTGATAATGCTACTTCAAATGGGTTATTTGTTGAATTTATTGCTTCCAGAAGGTTGTATTATTATCTCTTGATGGCGAACGGAGTATAATACATTTCTAGTGGTCGGTAATTCGAGTTTAATTGAGTTATTTGTTGGATATACTGCTTCAAGAAGTTTTTATTATTATCTCCTGATGGCGAACGAAGTATAACACATTTCTAGTGATCTTAAGTAGACGATAATGCGAGTTTAAATGAGTTATTTATGGAATATACTGCTTCAAGAAGGTTGTATTATTATCTCCTGATGGTGAACGGAGTATAACACATTTCTTGCTGCCTCAGGAAGGTTCTATTACTCTCCCCTCATAGGAAACGGACTATAACCTTATTTGAATTATTTTTGAATGAATATTTTTTAGTATTTTAACTTAATCATTCCCCAGCCGTTACTACTACTTTAAATTATTTTATGAACCACATAATTAATTCATTTAATTCAAGTACCTACAAAAATATCTCAATGCCCCCATCGCCCCCACGGAATTTCCTACGATTGTTCATTGCGTTATAGTATACAGATTTTATACGCGGTTCTTGATCTTGAATACTCGTACACTCGAATCCACCACGCCTAAAAGGAGGAAGGTCAGCCCGCAATGTATCTTATATTCTTCGTACCATTAATCTTCCGGTACCATCCCGCCCGTAAATTAATCGAAAACGGAAAAAATCCCATCGACTGCGCCAATTTTCTCGCCCAATTACGACGACCGGTCGCGAACAATGCGAGCAATTAACACACACACTGGCCCAATTACTTTTACATAACGAACGTTCAATTTTGTAACGTCCGTAAAAAGAAAAAAAAGTGAAAATTAAAACGCATATTCGACGCGTAATCTATTAGTATTCGACGGAGGGTCTTAGAAAGTGGCGCTTTTTTCGGCTACGGGTATATAAATACGCCCGGTATAATTTTCTCTAATCAGTCGATACCTGTCAGTTCTAGTGGATTATCGGGAAAACATTTCTAAGAGACGACAACATGGCTTCTAAGGTAAGTACACGTGCGTATTAAAAGTCGATCGGTGATTTAGTGCTTATAGTGGGTTTTTACTATCACAATGCGAATTAGATTAGATTCCCTTATGGAATTGACACACTGTATATAAATATATCACTTTTTACGACTCCGTAAAAACAGAAATTACGATGCTGTTTGGATTGATTTAACATTTATAGCGAAATCCATATATAGAGAATGTTTTTTTGCACTTTCCTCAAAAGCGCTATTACCACACGCATTGGCAACATTGAACTCCACTAATTGTTTTTCTAATATCATAATATCTTCTACCAGCGCTTCCAAGAATTCATATGGATAGTTTCAGTTGTTTCCTTAGAACAGCGATATTACAACACGCTTTGACAACGTTGCATTCCACTATATATTACTCTAATATAATTATTTCTTCTGTTGGAGCTTCAAAAAAACCCGGTAGAGAATTTTTAGTGTTTTCCCTAGAACTGTGATATTACAACACGCTTTGACAATGTTGTATTCCACTACATGTTACTCTAATATCGTTATTTCTTCTGTTAGAGCTTCAAAAGATCCCTGTAGAGAATTTTTAGTGTTTTCCCTAGAACTGTGATATTACAACACGCTTTGACAACGTTGCATTCCACTACAAATTACTCTAATATCGTTATTTCTTCTGTTAGAGCTTCAAAAAATCCCTGTAGAGAAATTTTAGTACTTTCCCTAGAACTGTGATATTACAACACGCTTTGACAACGTTGCATTGCACTACATATTTTACTCTAATATCGTTATTTCTTCTGTTAGAGCTTCCAGAGATCCGTATAGGGAAGTTTTAGTACTTTCTTTAATGTCGTTATTTCTTTTGTTAGAGCTTCAAAAAATCCCTGTAGAAAAATTTTAGTACTTTCCCTAGAACTGTGATATTACAACAGGCTTTGTCAACATTGCATTCCACTACATATTACTTTAATATCGTTATTACTTCTGCCAGAACCTCCAGAAATCCATATAGAGAATTTTTAGTACCTACTTTCCTTAGAACCGCGACATTACAACAAGCTTCGGCAACGTCCAATGCTCCACATTACTCTAAACATCTTTATTTCTTCTGCGCCAGATCATCAATCTAACCATTCTGCTCAACCTGATGCGATTGGCAACGTCTTCGCTAGTACCGCAACCGATTTTAGCACCGGCTCCTATCGTAACCGATACTATAGACCCGAATCCGGCCTATTCCTTCGCCTACGACGTCCAGGACTCGCTCACGGGAGACTCCAAAGGGCAGGTGGAGAGCCGAGCCAACGGCGTCGTCAGAGGCCAGTACAGCCTCGCCGATCCCGACGGTACCAGAAGGATAGTGGATTACTACGCGGATCCCGTGCACGGTTTCAACGCCGTCGTCAGAAAAGTACCGCTAGGAGCGGTGCCCAAAATCGTCGCGCCCGCTCCGGTCGTACCAGCACCCCTAGTTCCAGCCGCTCCTTTACCTCATCTACACGCAGCTCCTGTCGCTCCTTTACCTCATCTACACGCGGCTCCTGTCGCTCCTTTACCTCATCTACACGCAGCTCCTGTCGCTCCTTTACCTCATCTACACGCTGTACCTGCTGCTCCTGTACCTCTCCCAGCGCATCTGCACGCTTTTCCGGCTGCAGCTGCGCCTCTTCCTGCACATTTGCACGCTTTTCCGGCTGCAGCTGCGCCTCTTCCTGCGCATTTGCACGCTTTTCCGGCTGCAGCTGCACCTCTTCCGCTGGTACGTTCGCATCCGGCGTATGTGGGTAGGGCGGTAGTACCGGCTCCTGCGAGGCTGGCTTCTCCGTATGTACCGTCGATTTGGGGGTAGGATTGCGACACAGCGTTTTACCGGGTGATCGTCAGCTTCCTCCAAGAGAAGACGTGTTGTTCGTTTAATTTTTTTTTCTTTTTCTTGTACAGTACTGACTGATATTATTAATGTAACGTTGTACTTAGAAATGTAAATAAAGTTTTGTTAGTATTTAAGCAGGTAGTTTCTTTGTTGTTTCGATATCTTGGTTGTGGAGGAAATTTGCGGTAGTACTGTTACATCATCAAGTACAAATTTGTGTCCATGGTGTCTATGGGTGCAATAAAGATAACTTCTATTAGAAGCGTATAAAGGAAAAAGAGTATTATTGTGGGGAGATAGCAACTTTCTTTCTCTAATCACTGTTATTTTCATAATCTTTCTTTGTTCAACTTTGACCATATTGCAAACAAATTTGCACTTGTTGGTATTGTAGCTAGCTTATTGAGCTTGTTGAAATTATGCCATCTGAATTATATTGTCTAGTACTATCAGTACTTATAATTGTATTAGTATCTGTTACAGGAAATAGTTTTAATACTCATTGTCTAGTACTTCTACTGAGTTGAGTAATACTCATAATTAGTACTAATAGTAGTATTAATAGTACTTAATAGTACTCCAACTTTTCTTTCTTTACTGGTGATTCTAGTACATCATCCATTGTTCAAAATAAAAACGTAGGTGTTTCATTAGAATAAATACACGTGCTTTATTTTTGTCAAAATTCTCCAATCGAAAACGAATAAATATTAAAAATATTAGAATACTGTGAGGGTACTGTAGCTGTAGGGCGACGATAGAGCGATGATGGGCTGCTGTTGTACGTACGGAGCGCTCAAATATTGCACCGAAACCGGCGCTGAACCTCTTTGAGCGACCGCAGGATTGGCCTGCATCGGCTCTTCGAGTTCCAGTTTCTCCGCTTTGCCGGGGGTAGTTCTCCTGCTGCTGGACGGTTCTTTTTTGGCGAAGAGAGCCGCAGGTTTGGCCGGTTTGGGGTAGTAGTACCCGCTCGATGGAGGCGCTGCTTCCGTGGTGGTGGGTTCCAGTTCTTCTGCTTCTATGGTCGTGGTTTCGACGTCTTCGCGGTCGGCTTGTTGTCGCTGGGATTGTAGTTTCTGAGCCGGTTGTTGTTGTTGTTGTTGTACGGCGGGTTGGGCTATGTAGAGGCGCTCTTGGTACAAGGATAGCGGTTGTTGTAATTGAAGTTGTTGCAGTTGCAACGGCGCGAAGAATTGTTGTTGTTGTTGTACCGGTTGTTGTACGGCTACTAGCGGTTCCTTTTTCACGATGGCGACGAATCCGTTGAGCGGATCGGCTGTGTATTGGACCGTTCTTCTGGTACCATCTGGGTCGTCTAAGCTGTACTGGCCTCTGACGACGTTGCCGTTTCTGTTCTCCAGGTGGTTTTTGTTGTCTCCTGTTGTCTTATCCTGTACGTTGTACGAGTAGGAGTAGTTGGGATTCGGGTCGGATTCCAATCCGGGATTTTGCGCGGCGTTGGCGAGTACCATGGCGGCGAAAAATAGTACTAACTGGAATGAAATTATTGCGATTAAATTAGAAAATAAAATTGGAAAATTTCACAAGTTTACCTTTAAAGCCATTGTTTGGTTCGTTGTTGATTGACCGATCAAACTGATACCATCGTTCGGCGCTCCGGTACTTTTTATACAATAATATTAACCATGAACAGAAAATATTAACTGAATACTAATAACGGAGGAAAATAAATTTATTTTTTTCGCGGCGCGTTCTTGACTTATTTTTCCGATTATTGGCAATATTTTCATCGGTAATTCGATTTCCACTCACGCGTGTCTCGATGTTTCAATATTCCCGCCGCGTATATCGAAGTAACTATCGATCGTGAATTACTAATTAGCAAGAAATAATCGATACGAGTGAAATTCGATTATCGATTACGAGATGTTGATGGATAAGCAGTTTTACCAAATTCAGCTTTGTATCTAAATTATACTCGATTTTTGATTGATTTTAATAATACAATTATCGATCAAGTGCTTCAAAAGTTCAGGGAAATGACTAATTTATAATATCTAAAAGAAAAATAATAATAAAATATAATAATTCTACTGTATTTGTAATTGATTTTTTACTAATATATTTATTGGAAAATCAAACGGCGATTGTATAATGCATAAGTTTTGGGGAAAACTTTTTGAGTGGCAGAGGAAAAGTGTCCGATTTTTCGCTTTTCCGCGCGAGTTTATTGCTTATTGGATTCCCTGGTTTTTTTTTGGAAGTGGGTTTTTTATGACGTAAGAAGAGACGTTATCGCTTGTAAAATACGCGCGCAAACGTCGGAAAATTCGGGAGTTTTTCTTTTTTTAGGACCGGAAAATATGGTCGACACACACCTGAGAAAATGGGGTTAGTAATATAATGTTTTATGGGGACGGAATTTACATGGAAGGAAAACTTCTGGTGCGAGTTTATTATCTATTTTAATAGTTTTCCTGGGGGGTGGTTTATTCGGAAAATCCGCAATTTGGTTGTGTGTTTTCGCGATGAATTTTTTATTTTTTTTTTGAATTTACGAGGGATTTAAATTAAAAGAAATTTCGTTGTATTAGTGCATAATAATTTGGTACTAATTCGAGGGATAAAAATTGAACTATTTGTTTTATAAATTCATACACAATAATATTTCTACAATTTTTATCAAATCCGATTAAACTACAATCCAATTTTTACCGGACAATTCTCGTATATTTCCCCATCGAAAACAGGATTATAAACGACTCTCGATTGTAAAACACCATTAAATGTCCAATCCTACATACCAAAAAACGCATCAAAATCGAATTTTATGCGTTATTAAATGTCCGGATTTGAACGATAATTCCCTCAAAAAAAACAAAAAAATTACCCCGAACGAACGGATAAAACTTTTGCAAAAATCCCGTTAAAAATAAAATTTACCATTACTGAAAAAATCGCACTTGGCGATCACTCCGCGATAAATCCTATTTCTTTTAATCCATAAATCCAAAAACATCCAATTAAAATACAAAAATTTATTAAGCATATACAAAAAAAAAACAATACAATTATAATCCATCCAAAATCCTAATGCACCATCATACAAAATTCAAATATTGGCCAACATACGGCGATGCAGCTCCAATAACCCCGAATTGAGCCGCTCTACCCGCTATCAAAGCCCCCGATTGAGCCACCAACGCGCCATTTTGAGCCACCAACGCCCCCCTTTGAGCGACCAGCGGCCCAGATTGAACCAACTGGGCGATTTGAGGCACCGCTTGAGCAAATAGAGGCGCCGATTGGGCGACCAACGCCTGCTGCGATACCACAGGAGCACCTTGGGCGACCAGGCGAGCCGATTGGGCCACCACAGGAGCCGCCGGAGCTACTAGAGGCGCCGATTGGGCGATTAGAGGCGCTGATTGGGCTACCAAGGGAGCGGTCCGGGCGATTAGAGGCGCTGATTGGGCTACCAGGGGAGCTGTCCGGGCGATTAGAGGCGCTGATTGGGCTACTAGCGGAGCGGTCCGGGCGATTAGAGGCGCTGATTGGGCGACGACGGGCGCTGCTTGGGCGATTAGAGGCGCTGCTTGGGCGATTAGAGGCTCCTTTCTGACTAAAGCGTTGAACCCGTTGACGGGGTCTGCGGTGTAATCGACGATTCTTCGGGTGCCGTCGGGATCGGCTAGATTGTACTGGCCTTGTACTATGCCGTTAGCCCGGGTTTCGATGTGGCCTTTGGAGTCTCCCGTGAGGGAGTCCTGGACGTCGTAGGCGAAGGAGTAGGAGGGATTCGGGTCGACGGTGTCCTCGGATAGTTTCGCTAGTACCGGAGCCTGGGCGATTAGAGTCGTGGCTGATGTTAGAGCCAAGATGGCGGGCAGGAGGAGAAGCTGAAACGATGAGATTATTTTTTTTGAAGAATTATTTTTTTTTTGGACTTACCTCGTTGAACATGGTTGGTTTTTTTTGGAGGATTTGGTGGACTGTGTGTTTGTGAGGTGGATCCGGCGGGTTTTATATACCCGGTTAGGAGATTTGTACACCGAAAAGGCGCATTTCGCATATAAAACAGAGAATTTGGTAACGCGCGTTTCGCATGAATTCGCTTTCGAATCGATGCCGAAGACTCTCGTTGCGCAACGCCCATTAATTAGGTTTGTATTTAAAAAAAAATAAACCGAACGGGGGTTTTGTGTAGCGTTTTTTTCCCTCTGTGCAGACGTTATCGAGGGAAATGGATTGCAGTCGGGCGAATCGCAGAAATGACTAATGAAAATTGTACATTACGCCTACGCCGGGGTACTTTACAACGATTTTTCATCGCGTTTATTATCTCGCGACTCGGAACGAATGTATCATCGTACGCAACTTAAAGTCCTCCACAATTATTTGGTGACTATAAAAAAATCGTACCTTAGAAAATGTTAACTTAAGAGCAAGTTCAAATGAGTTACTTGTTGAATTTACTGCTTCAAGAAGATCCTGATGGCGAACGGAGTATAAAAAATGCTTAGTACGGTCCTGTGGGAGTCGCTGAAAGGTAATAGCGCGATATTTAATAGCAGGCTTATCGAGCCTTGTATATCAAAGGACCATTAGTCACGAGGCGCTTGAAGTTAGTTACAAGTAAAACTTTTTTTTTATTATTTTCTACTCTTCTGCGAAGATATAGAATTTCGTAATGAACGTTCGAGTGATTCTCCTGCTAAAATTAATAAACGTGCATAATTTTGTTGTAAATTCTATTTTTTTTTTGTTGATGAAATTCGCAATTTACAGTTTTTTTTTTCTGTTTGTTCGCAGGTAAGCGGGACGCGCCTGCGCGATGGACGTCTGGTAAGCGCGAGATTTACGCAAATCGGCGACATTCGGTCGAATTTAAATCGAAAATTAATCATAATCCGACGAAATCCGTTTCCTTGATGGGCGAGGTCGGAATCTTAACTATGCCTTTTTTTTTTCATTGAATAATTCAGCGGGCGTTCGAACAATAACATTAAATCAAAATTCGAACTAGTTTCGAAACGGGATTGCGACGGAAAAAATTTCATCATCGATGGCGATGGCGATTTCGGAAAACTCGTCTTTCAAGGATTTTTTTCATCGAAATCGCCATTAAAATTATTTACATACATATCTCGTTCGCTTATAAAGTTTGTGCCAAACAAATATCAATCAAACTTTTAAAAAATGAATACACAAAATAGATTAACAAGGGATGATAAAAAGCATCAATTAAATCATCCAAATAAGTCAAAATTAAATTGTATATAAAATATGTCCTCGCTGTGTTAACTTAACCTTACCATAAGCACTATTATACAGGGTGATCTCTACCCTACTCTACCCTGGAAATTTTCCTAATCTTTCCACAACGAATCGAAACTCTTTTCCAACTCTTTCGACGTCAAGGAAGTCATTTTCGTCCTGTTTTGTAACCGCTCGAATTCGAATAAAATTCCTTTTGTAGTCCTTTCGAAAGGCTATTTAGAATCTCTCTTTCCATCAGCAAATGCAAATACCATTTGGCGTTAACATTTAATTCGATTTTCTGCAGTATAATAGGGATGTTTTTTTTTTCTATTTCGGATACCCTTTTGCTCGATCTCCCGGATAATTATTTTAATTGTGATTTACCCGACGGGCTGAAACTAAAATATCAAAGCTATTTATCACGGAAACGCGTGAATTATGGACGTCGGGTAATTTGTATAATGTTTGCCAGGTAATAATTTTAATGGAATAATCCGGTTGTAAAAATGTAGTGGGATTATTTATTATGCCATTCTGGAGTAAATAATTCGATTCTTTCGGATAGACTACGGTGTGTTTTTTTGCGATTAAATTAATTGTAGCTCGAATGTAGACCGTAGAAAATACGTTTAGTAAATAAATCTTCAAAACCGCCTCGTCGATCTGCCTAAACCTAAACCTTAATGCCTCGATTACGGTGTGCCCGTAACGCTATTCATTTCGTTTTTCTAATTATACTCCGTTCGCCATCAGGAGATGGTAATAAAACCTTCTTGAAGCTGTAAATGCAACAAATAACTCATTTGAACTCGCATTATCGATCATTTAAGATCACTAGAAATGTGTTATACTCCGTTCGGCATCAGGAGATAATAATTAAACCTTTTTTGAAGCAGTAAATTCATCAAATAACTCATTTGAACTCGCATTATCGATCATTTAAGATCACTAGAAATGTGTTATACTTCGTTCGGCATCAGGAGATAATAATTAAACCTTTTTGAAGCAGTAAATTCATCAAATAACTCATTTAAACTCGCATTATCGACCAATTAGGATCACTAGAAATGTGTTATACTCCGTTCGGCATCGGGATATGGTAATAAAACCATCTTGAAGCAGTAAATTCAACAAATAACTAACTTTAATTATTTGTATACATATTTAAAATACCCATTTAGGTTCCATTGATTACGTGATGACGAACGGAGTATAACAAACCCGTTACTTTAGTCCTTTCTAATTCAAACTTTAATCAACAATTAATCCGGATAAATAGACGGGTTAAAACGTAATTAAAATCCTCGAATATATCCAGCGGTGTTGCATGTAACTAGGTGCAATAAGTAGTGCATTTTATTAAAGTTGCACCTGCATGGAAACTTTCCTGTGGAAGGAAACTTTTTATTAAAATAATCAACAGCGGGAGGCGGTGAATAAGTTAGGTGTAAACTTTCATCATCGCTTGTAAGATTTTGTTTTATTATCTAATGAACAATTCTTGCATATATTGCGTTCATTATAATCTCGATATGACGTAGGTACATAAAACTTTTATCTTGATATTGATATATTCACCCTGTATATTCGTAGGTGTTGTTTTGCGCATCGTTATATTTCATACAAACGTGCCGTTAAATTACGAAAGTAATTTCCACTAAATCAAAAATTGTTTACGCTCGGTACCTATACAGGGTGAATCGCGCTAAACTCCTGAATATTATAGGCAAACGGTCTCAATTTCACAAAATTGGGACAACCCGTATATGTTTGATTAATTTTACATTATAGCTGCCGTACATATACATGTTTATTCCAAAGGAATTTGAAAAAATCTCTTACCGTTTGCCTACAATACTCCATCCCGTTATTCTTGATTCACCCTGTATGTATATGGTACATAAGGGAGTATACACCTCTTTGTGGTCCGGCAATATTTTCGCCATTTTTACGACTGGAACGGACCGGTTTCGACGCGTAGGAGAAATCCTGCGAGCGCTTAAAGAGATTACTTTTATTCAGGAAAAATCAAACCTGTTATTTACTCTATTACTTTTATTTTATACACGCTCAATATTACATTCCACTCTGTATAAAAAATATCAATGTATTCATTACATTTTCTTAATGTTACATCAAAGTTTGCATGTAAAATTCCTGCTGGAGCTAACATATTCCGTTCCTGCTATACAGCGAGATTCCAATGAAATTATCTCGAATTTTTAACATCGTTTGCGAGAAAATTCCTGCGATTCCAGCTCCTTCCGACGAACGAGCAGGCAACAGATGGCGTTGCGTCGCAGGAACTAGTCGATTCCTGCTAATATCCCCTTTTCCGGATGATCCAAACAGGGAATTTGGTACAGCAAAACTGCCACAGGTGGCGCCCGGTTCTACCTTCAGCAGGATTTATTTCGTATACAGGATGATATGTAATAAATAAGAATTTCTGAATTAATATACAATTATGTTGAATAAAAATAGCAGGAATAATCGTATACACTTAACTACCCTACTCATATATTAATTAGAGCATCAGAATTGATTTTATTATATGTATATAGAGCTTTATTGGGGTGGTTATATTTGAATTCCTGCGATCGATTCCTGCTGTGTGTAACCTCGAGGCGAGAGCCGGGCAAGTGGACGTTTCGCGTATATAGAATGGCGCGTCGCCATGACGACGGAGGAATCGGCGCCGACGCCGGGCGTCGCGGCGTCATATTCGCCGGGCATATCCTAGTTATCGGATGGGTCGCGTTGAAATTGGAACGGGCGATTTTCCATTGCGTTCTACCGTGTATGTTATCGAACGCGTGTATTGTAAATTAAATGTGGAAATTGGATTTGTGGGTTTATTAATTTTTTTTTTTTTTTTGGTTTTGTATGTTTTTATTTATTTATTGTTTGTTTACCGTATATTGATCGGTTGGTTTTTTTTTCTGAAGCAACAGGTGCTTTTGTACGATTTGCAGTGGTGGATGTTATGAGTAGTTTATATTAGTTTTGCTACGATCGAAATTATATGGTTATTGATGATAATTTCAGTAAACGTTTTACGAATTTATACATTACATTGAAAATCCTACAGTCTACTGAATTTTCAGTAAACTTGGCAACATTTCTCAGTTCTACAATTATTTCTATTCTCTAATTCGACTTTATATTGATTTATTTGACTTAAGATCCAATTATTTGGTCCAATTACTTGATTCTGTGCCCAATTACTCTATACTATAGGTAGATATACAATTATTTGCCTTCGTATCCAATTACTTGACCCTATATTGATAATTATTCTACTCCAGTATACAATATAAGTAGTTTACACTATTTTAGTTACGACCAAAGTGCGTGAAAAGTTTTTTATTGATTAAATGCTCGAATTGATTGATTGATTGATTTGAGTGATTGATGGGATATCTAATTATTGACTGTTTGGATGGTTAAATTTATATTTCGTTGAAAAACCGTAGAATTACTACTTTTTCACCAAACTTGGCAACATTTCTTCTACAATGCATCTCCTCAAATACTCCAATTTTTAATTTTCTATTTACTCAAATCTATTTTTTCCACCGTTATATACAGTAAATACTCCGTTAACGAAACCATCTGTTTCGAATAACTTAATGAGCCGGTATGTTTAGAAAAAGGTAAAATTAGCAATTTGATTACAGTTTCGAACCGAAAGGAATGCATTACATTTTTTTTTCCTTCCAAACACCCGACACGAAAATATCTCACTTCCGAATAAATAAGCGCTGACTTGGCAACGTCGCGTTTATTTGGAAGGGTGGCAGTGATAAGTGAATTTTCCAACGCTCATTACTCGAGCAAATCTGGGAAGGCGAGGTGAAATATGCACTTTAAATTCTGTCGAATTTTCATATGGGGGGAAAGGTTTTCCCGAGGTGGGAAATTTACCGGCGACGACGTTTCCTTTCCGCTCCATTTCCCGGCGCTTTTGCACTTTGCGCTTTTCCGCGACAGCTCGGAGATAAAGGAAAGTTTTTCCTCGCGCTCTCGCTTCGCGACGTCGAGGAAAACTCTCTAGATTTATTACGATAGGTGCTTCATTCGGTACTCGGGCTTTTCACGCGCGTTTTTCGCTTAATTAGCAAGAATAGTGTGCTGTGGAATTATGAAGTTGGAAAAGTCTTTCTTTAATTTTATGTGAGAATTTCCAATTTTTAATTTGCAAGCTCAGTTTTCGGTTTTTACTATCGATTAAGTATTATTTTATGATAATTCCAATTTCCAATTTCCACCTTCCATGCTTAGTTCCCGGTTGTAAAAATCGATTAAAAATCGACTAAGCAGATAAAGAAAAAAAAATCGAAAAAAAAAATGATCGATTGGGTATCGATCGTGCGGCATTCGCATCGCCGATTCTCCAACTACATGTACGGCGTGCCGAACAAAGTGCGCAGGCGCCGACAGAAGTTCCACAAACGCGAACAACAACAGAACGCCAACGGCGTCGCCGGCGCCGCGACGCCCTCTCACGCCTCCGGTTGCAATTGCTGTTGGGCCGGCGACAAACTGCAGGTAGAACATGTAAATAGTTCCTCGCGATTCTTCGATCAATTACTCGAGTTAATTGTCCAATTACTCGATTTTTGGGCTTAATTACCCCCAATTACTTACCCAATTACTCGATGCTTATATTGAATTACGCGGCTATGTATCCAATTACTCGAAAAAGTATCCAATTACTCGACTCTACTACTAGAAACTTCTTTAGTAAGCTGATTACTCCATTTAATATCCAATTACTTGCCTCTATGTACTCTTATTTTACTGAATATTTAATTACTCAACTCTAAAATATCTATTATCTTCACTAATTATCCAATTACTTGTCCAATTATTCTATTACTCCACCAATTATCCAATTACTCTACCTGATATCCAATTACTCTACCTGTTATCCAATTACTCCACCAATTATCCAATTACTCCCCCAATTATCTACCTAATTACTCCACCAATTATCCAATTACTCAACTGATTGTTCCGGTTTTAAATTGCAGAAATCCCGGTATGCCGAGGACGAGATGCCGCCGCCGCCGTCGCCGCCGCACGGCCACGCCGTCCACCATCCGGGCGTCGTGACGGCGATAGCCCAAGAGGGGGGCGGCAGCGGCAGGGCGTCGAGACAGGGCTCGCTGGATAGGGGTTCGACGCCGGGCGTCGGTCACCACCAACGGCTGGCGAGGGCGTCGGCCGAAAAGGAACAGGCCCACAACGCGGTAAGCGACCATTTTTTTTATCCACCAGTAACTCACTGTACTTTTTCCACGACTCTACTGTTTTGCGGTACATGTACAGGGTATACTTAAATATGTGATATTTGGTAGTTAGAAATTGCCGTTTGGCTGTATTTGGTAAGGTTCTTTGAGTGTAGACGATTTTCAATTGGAATTATTTTGACCATTTATAAGGCATGACATTTGGCTATTGAAACGAGACATTTGGCTATTGAAACGAGACATTTGGCTATTGAAACGAGACATTTGGCTATTGAAACGAGACATTTGGCTATTGGAAATTGACATTTGGCAATTCCAAACTTGACATTTGACGGTAGGTAGGTATAAGAATGAAGTGAGAGAAGATGTTTCTACAGGATGTCTCATAAGTTGATACTTTTTTTTAACTGAATATTATTATTTTTTTGTACCTGCCATAATTATACAGGTGTCAAAAAATAATAAATAATTAATGACAAAAAATTAATTTTTCGGTTGTTGAATTGAAAATGGCTCATCTTTATACAAATAATGAATTGATGGACATGCCGATTATTTATGGAGAGTATTTTCAAAGCGTTTCCAATCAAAATGGCGACAATTTTGAGCAGTTCCTTTAACTTTTAACGAACAGGGCCGTATTAAATAACTTTTTAATAATTAAAAATTGAAAAAAACACACGCTCTCTTATTTTCCAAAACATTAAAAAATTTTACTTGAAAAAGTTGCTTAGAATTGAAAGATCTATACGCAATAAAAAAAAAAGTATCAACTTATGAGACACCCTGTATAAATATCCACTTTTGCTACACTAACTTAGTATACTTTTTCCACGACTCCGCTCTATCGGCTTCACCAAGCGGAAGAGAGTGCATGAAAGCTTCCATAGAAGCAGAATGGGGCGCCGGCAGAGACATCTGCCGGCGGCGGGCGGGAGCGGCGGCGGCGGAGGCGGCGGCGGCGGCGGCGTTTCGGGGGGGGCGGGCGATGTCGTTGCCGCATCGAAAGAAACAAATACACATATATGCGTGTCATAGTTGCGGTGATACGTGTTATTACATGTTAGGCGGTGCGTGCGTGCGTGAGGCGGCCGCGGCGGCGGCGGCGGAGGCGGCGATTTACCGGTCCGGGTGGCTGGTGTTAACGGGTTTTTTATTGTTCCATTTGCTGACTGGTTTTTGTTGGGTTATGTACGGTTGATTTGATTAGTTTGGAGCAAGTTCGTGCGTGTTTCGAGTTGTGAAATCTCAATAAATTTTAGAGGCTTTGACAGCCGGAGTGTGATTGAGTTTAGAGGCGAGGTTGATTTGATTCGTAGGGGGATGTTTCAGTAATTATTTTGAATGGGCTGTTAATAGATTTAATTATTAGATTGATTAATTATTTTATTGGAAACATTTCGATTCTACCCCGTATTATAAACGTGCTTTTTTAGTGCTTTCCTTTCGAGCGGGAGCGCTTTCAACGCGGGTTTTCCTTTCACGATACTTTCCCGACCTTGCTAATGAAATCGTGCTCGGAAAATACCCGGAAAATCACGTCTCGTGGACATATGAAAAATCGTTCGCTTTTCATCCCGAAATTTTACCAAAAAAATTGTGTGCTCTGCTCTAATTTTCCGCGATCGATTTATTACGCTTTTGACGGGAAAATTTGGTTTGTACAGGGTAATTTTTATTAAATATTTACGAGGAAATTCGTCTAGGAAAGTCACTTTATTGAACAATTTCGTGACCTCTGTGTTGAATCTAAATTATGTATTTTACCTTCGTTTATCGATTATTGTGTCTACACGTTCTTGACTCGGAAAAACTAAATTACTCCAAGTAAACTCGATAGGAAAACTTTCGTACGAAAGAAAATCGAGTGTTAGTTAATTATTCAACGAATCGATGCGTGTACGATTTATTTGTATATTTCCACGTACAGAGAAAACTCCTTTCGGAAAAGTCGGTCTCCTAATGAAAAGCGAAGAAATGAAAAATGCAGAAACGTGGAAAATCTTCTCGCCCGGGCGACTTGTAATTATCCCGTCTTGTAATTATCCCCTTTTTCGATAGTAATCAACGCGAATTGTTGCTGAGAAAAATTAAAACTGCCACAAAAATCCTGCGAGAAAAAAATAATAGTTCTGGAAAACCTGCGGTTTTGAGTATAAATAAACAGCGTAAAATCGATAAGGCGTTGGAAGCGCCATCCTGCGAACGATACCTCGACTTCGAATTCCTGCTGAACAGCAGAAAGCGTTAATTTAATATCCCCCGCTATCGTCTTAGATGGCGGTGGTTGTTAGGAAATTTAAATCGGCCATTTTTTTTTAACTGAAACATCCCTTTCGCAGGCAGTAATTAGATAATAAGAAAAGCTCGTTAATATGGTAACAATATGCCTACTGCTGAAAGCCACAGCAGGAAAATGTGTTCTCTGTGCCCGAGAAGGAAGAGCTCCGTCAAAAAAGCCGTTCGATTCGATTCCATTGTGGACACTTTCTCCATATCGGACGTTTCTCACAGGGTGAGTCTGTTACTCAATCACTATATCACCAAATTCCCATATAAACAAATTCCCACATAACCAAATTCCCATAGCACAAAATCTAAATGACACAAAACTTGATCTCACTATTCAGAGTCACTGTATAGAACTGTACTTTGCTCTACAGGTCTAAGTATAGGTCTTAGAGAGGTCTTATTGGTTTTAATAAGGATCTTATTATGAACCTCAGTATTAGTCTTAATGAAAGTATGGGTCTTAATATGAGTCTTATTGGTCTTCTGAGCAATTCTAAATGTTTCTGGATCGTTCTAAATGGTTCTAGACAGTTTTAAATGATTCTGAAGCGTTCTAAACGGTCTAACATTATACGGGGTGAGTCAATAATTCAAATTATATCCCACTTTACATTGGCAATGTTTTCCATACATTTCCCTCCCATTTGTCTTCCCTAGCTCTCCGCTTTTATTACAATTTAAACGGATTCGCGAGCTCTTTTGTTGGCCCGCGTTTCATTGTGTCCCTCCCCCGCTCTATTGTGGTCGCGAAAGTGGAAATTAAAGAAATGAAAAACGAAAAAAAAAGCATACCAACGAATATAACCGCCCGGCATTTTTAGAGCGGTTATTAAAAACGCTTTGTATACCCGTAAAATATATACGGGCATTCTTCGCGCGAAAACTTTGACTCCGGGAAATTTATTTCGCGAAGAGACGAAGAAATTAATCGTGTATACAACAATCGGCGAAAGACATTCGAATTATAACGCTACAGAACGGGAATTAATTCGTGATCGGGCGAATCGGGCGGGAATTTTCCAGTTTTCCTCGATGGAAATTCGATCTGTGTCGCTCGGCGTTGGCGATAAGGGCAAGTCTTATCGCCGTCGAAACAGCGACGGGTTCGGACGCGTATCGAACGATTTCCTGCGATCGCAGGAACGGCAGCGAAGAAGATTCGCTTTTCTCTAATTTGTGTCAGGAATTCGGGATTTCGTCGAATGCGAAGGTACAGCGGAAAATCATTTGGAACCGGTTAAAAGCTCGCTCGAATATACAGGGTGTTCCATAATGACTAATGCTAATATTTAAGGGGGTGAATCTTGGACCTATTTTAAGAAAAAAAAACTTGTAGAGTGTACATATGAATGCATTTATTTTTTTTAAAGCAAAACGATGAGTCGTACGGAAAAAAGTGAAGATATCAAATTTGTTCTAAATTGAATGAGGATTCCGAAAATAATTTTTATTTTATTATTAGGCAGTGGCGTACCATTTTTTTCTGCAAAAATATTCAATGCAAGACCCGTACGGACGCCACTGGTGAAAATAATAAAATTATTTGTACATCAGAAAATGCATCTTGATTCATAGAAGACGTGTGCAAAATTTCATAAAGATATCTACAATAGTATCAAAGTTATTACAAAAAAATGACTATTTTTTTAAAATTTTAATACCCTGTATCTCAAAAGTTAAGACGTTTAGAACATAGTTTCATATGAAGTTTTTTTCTTAAAATGAGCCTAAGAATCACCCCCTTAAATATTAGCATGTCATTTTTGAAGACGCTGTTTACAGAGTGGCTCTAAAATTAGAATAAGAGAGCTCTTCTAGGAGTTATTAAAAACGATGCTGACTTGGGCCACCATGTATGTTTATTGTGCGCCAAATTGTATGTAGTTTGTAATTTAATTAAGTACAAATTAGAGTGAAAATACATGCAATTCCATTCCTGCGAAATAATTTCAAAATTTTGGTGTATACGCGCCAGGATAAATCCATTTAACCGTATATACAGGAACAATTCCGAAATATCCTATTAGACATTCCCTAATTAAAATACTACAATGAAGCTAATTTTGATTAAAAAAAACACTATCGCTCGTACGCCACTGGGTTTTCCTTTGCCCTAAAAGCCGCGTCCACTCATAAAACACTTTATTTCGTGCCGGCGCAAAGGCCTTCAGATCTTTCTCATTTTGTAAGAGACATTTCGAGCACGGATGATAAATCATCGCGCCTCGCCGGGAAATTTATATATATTTTCCCGGTTTTTCCTGCGCGCATCCGTCTTGCCTCGTATCTATCAGCTACACGGCCAATTTTCGAGCACAAACCCCGAGTTAATGAAAATTCGAGAGCCTCTAATCGGACACAGTTTAAGTGAAAAAACCTAGAAAACTTTTCTACAATACCCCGAGTTAAATGAACGGTCGCGCGCCACTGCTTTAAGTGAACAATCTAGAAACCTTTCTGCACGTCCACTGGCCTCGTACTTATCAGCCAAAGCAGCTAATTTTCGAGCACAAACCCCGAGTTAATAAAAATTCGAGAGCCCCTGATCGGGGATATTTTAACTGAAAAACCTAGAAAACTTCTCTACAATACCCCGAGTTAAATGAACGGTCGCGCGCCACTGCTTTAAGTGAACAATCTAGAAACCTTTCTGCACGTCCACTGGCCTCGTACTAATCAGCCAAAGCAGCTAATTTTCGAGCACAAAC